GATGTATCAAAAATAAGTACTTTCTAAAGGTGTAAGAAAAAGATGCCTTGGGAGCATCTCAAAAATCAATAAGAACCTAACCATCAAAGTTGAAAAGGGTGAACAAGCATAATACATTTATTTTAGAAGATAATGCATGGTACAATTGGTTGGGATAGCTCAAGAGAGGTTTACCACATTTTGGGGGTGTCTGAGTGGGTAGTGGAGAGGAAGCATGGCTGTGGGGACTGTGTGAGGTCTTTGGCCCCTTGCTCTATGAGTCTTTTCTCCTGCTCTGATTTCTGGTCATTATGGACTCAGGAACTTCATTGTGCAACATTCTTCTGCCAACATGCTTGTGTCTTTGAGTAAATTGGGCGCAGACTGTAAACATGAATTAAATCAAAATATTCCTTTAAGTCTTGGATATATAATATTGTGTACTAGAAGAAAAGAGCTGATAAATACAGAAAAATTGGAGCAAAAGAGGCAATCTTTTTGTGAATCTACCTAGTGAAGTTGTCTGAAAACTTTTGGAACTGGCTTATGGAAGGAAATTGGAAAGCATTGGAAACACAGATGGTAGATGTACTAAAATGCTATAAGCAAAACTTCAGGGGTGAGTCTAGTGGGAGCTCAGATCATACTGATGATAGGAATGCAGAGATGAAAAGCCAGGGTTTTTAAATTTCAAGTGCAAATGAACTATACTGGGAAATGGACTAGAGACCATGAGCTGATGTTCTGGATAAGATGCTGTTTCCAATTTGTCCAACCAATAAGACTTTTTTAAAAAACTGAGATAAAGGATAATACACTAATTATTCTAGCAAAGGAAATTGTAAAGCTGTCTAACCTTTAGAGTACCCTTTAGTCCTGGTTGGCTGATTTACCAAATTTTCATGAGAATCAGGGCAAGAAAAACAAAACAAAACAAAATCTTATTAAGAGATTATCATCTATAAAAAGAAAACAAGGGGCTTGGGGTTTAACTCAGCGGCATAAGCACCAGCCTTGCAAGCAGGCGGTCCTGAGTTCGATCCCTGGTACCGATAAAAATTGAAAAAGACAAAAAAAAAAAAAAAAAAAAGAAAAGAAAACAAGTACTTTCTAAAGGCATAAAAAAAAGATGACTTGAGAGCATCCCAAAAACCAGTAAAGCCCTAACCATCAAAGTAGAAAAGGTTGAATAAGAATAATACATTTATTTTAGAAGATAACGTATGGTAGAATTGCTTGGGAAAGTACACTATTAGTAATGTTTCCCAAGATTTATTTTGATGTTGTCAGGATCCAGATTCTGAGAGTTCATGGCAGTCAAGGTTTAAAGGTGTCCAGTTACTGCTCAATTTGAGAGCAGATCTTGACATCATCCACATGACGCTGTTTTTTTACCAATATGCACAAATGAAGAGTTGTGGAATTAGGAAGATGTCTACCTAGATTTCAGAATAGGGCTGAGGAGGCCAAGCAAGGATCTCCTATGAGAGCAATCTGTAAAGCTGTGGGAATAAAGCAGAAAACAAGGCAGAAAGTCAGGGATGCCAGAAATATGAACCATCTAGTAAGGAAAACTAGAGGTCTGGAGTGGGCACTGCTCAAGACAGAGACCAAGTGAACTGCAACTAACAAAGCCATAGTATTAGGGCTACTTAGGCACTCTGGAACTCAAATTTCATCCTTGTTTGCCTTCAATGCCAGCTATGATGCTATAGAACTTAATAGTTGCCCTGTTGGATATTGCTTATTGTCTTGGTTGTTTTATCATTGCTGGGATAATGTGCCCAATGCCCAAAATTTAAGGAAAGAGAAGTTTTCTGAACTCACAGTGTGTGGAAGTTTCAGTACATAATCAGCTGGCTCCAAGACAAAGTGATGTGACACAGGCAACACTTCAAGGCAGGAGAAGACAGAAAAGGCAGCAATAGCAAAAGACGGATACAAGCCTCTTTTCTTCCTTATATTGTATGCAGGCTGTGCCCTCAGTTGAGTGTAGCACTCACATCATCTCTGCACCCTTCTCATGTGCAGGCTCATGTGATGACTCTGGACCCATCCTGAATCACTTAGTTAAACTGCTAAACTTCTCAAATTGATACAATGAGCAATACCCTAGAGTCCTGAGAACATGCCGTCTGTACACTAGAGTAGAACAGCTAGTTATTTAGTTAAGCTTCTAGACTTCTCCAGTTGACAAAGTATATTAACCATTACAATCATGCTTTAACTTGATTTGATTCTAGTCACCTTTTCACTACATATGGAAGAAGAATGTTACCCCTGCACCAGTCTCCTGTGGGATTGCATTACTCCTTTTTGATTTTCACAGAAATATAAAACTAAGCATTGACTAGATTTGGACTTGGACTTTTGAAAAATTCTTGAATTGTTGAGATTTGGGGGGAAAGTTGTTGCATTCCAGCTGTACACAGGATATTTGTTATTATGTAAGACAAAATTATGAACTTTCTATTGTTTTCATTTGGAAAATAAATGTGACTTAAGGAGATGTGTTTTGATGTGATTTTGACAAGGACTAGGATATGATAGCTATGGTAGAGTGTCAACCTCATTAACTTTGAGATCTGATAAGTTTTAGTGATGTACACTTCTTGTTGTGTCTGGGTGAGACATTAACTTGGATCTATGTCCATTCCCTCATTCTTTCTCTCTGTCACTGTTCTCTTGCTCTGCATCCTGGCCACAAATATTGTTTGACTGCCTTTGCTGCATCATGCCATTGTACCATGATTAAAAAGCAGAAATGCTGCTTTGGAGCTGGCTAACCATGGACTGAGTCTCCTTAATATATGACCTGAATGAAACCTCCCCTTTTCCTTTAATTTGTGGGTGTCCACTATTGTTTCCAACAACTTGAATACTCACTAATATATCCTCCTTTTGACAATTGGACAAAACAGATATAGAAGTTGGTATGATGGGTCAAACAGATCAACAAATCAGTTCTCTGTTCTCATAGTTTAACTTTATTTCAGTTTTCTAAATATATCTCTGGTGAACTGTAAATCAGGAAAAAATATGGTAAAAGTAGGATACACTACAGAAAAATTATTAACATTGTATATTAGCTAATATCTGACCAAATATTATACAGCTGAGCCATTAATTAGTCATACACTGGTCATGAATCCAAAGATGTTTATAATGATTCACACCCTCAACATGATAAGTTTTACTATTATCTAATAAATGAGACTATTTTAGATGAAACAATTAGAAAATAATGCCAACATTATTCTTTAATAATATGGAAACTACCCTAATTGAAACAAAGTTTTCTTTAGAAATAGGAATATAGTTAAATAAAGACAAAAACAATTAAAAAATACTTTTAAAAATTCATCCATATTAGTCAGTTAATAGGCATAATGTATTTGTCATTGTACAGAAATTTGACTAGAGCATGAATGGTTTTTTGTGGCAAAGAAAATGGAAATGCAAACATTTTTGTAGTGCTTGAATTAGAAATTAGCATCTTTCGTGATTTACTTGTAATCAAAGCAATGTTGAATCTGCAACATTGACAGGTACCAGTCAAAGGAGCTCTCTTGGTCACTTTCTTGTCACTTGAGAAAAATATCCAATGGAAAACCTTAAATGGACAGAAGTTATTTTGGCTCAGTTCCTACAGGCTTCACTCCATAGTTTCAATATTCCACAACATAAAGTATGGTAGAGGAAGGCTGCCAAAATCAATATCCTTCCAGGTCGTGCCCTAACTCACCTCTAATCAACACCCATCTCCTAACAGAACTCATTAATGAATGAATCCACTGAGTATAGAACCTCCATGTTGCAACACCTTCCAAAAGTCTCACCTCTGATACAATTGAACAAATAGTTGAGATCGGTTTGCAAATGGCTATGAAACATGATGCATAAAATGAATTTATCTGAGAGTGTGGAGGATGAGGAGTTACTTTGAGGCTCTGGCCCCCTTGTGACCTGCAATAAACAATAGCCCCTGGTATGCAGGACAGAGACGGGGCAGGAAGGCCCGACCCCAGTGAGGAAAATGTTCCCCCCTCTGAACCCATGCTGTGTGACTTGGCTTTGTTTGCAGAGTCATGTGGAGGTGGCCGACCTCCAGGTGGCTAGAAAGAACAAACATAATTAAAAGCATTCTTGGGCTAATGGAGTGCATTCTTGGGCTAATGGAGTTCCTCCTGGGTTAGTGGGGCTAGAAGAACTGGTTTTGCTTGTTTAACTTAGAGAGTTGAGATAAACATTGTAGTTGGTCACAAATCTTGTCACAAAGAATGCGATTTCAAGATAATCCTCTGTGCTCTGTGAGTTGACCCGGTTTACTATATAAGAATCCTGGAATAAAGACTTGGTGTGCAGTGCAGTGCAGTTGCAATTGCCGTGTCTGCTGTTTCTTTTCTTCGCGCTGCACCCCCCGTGTCCCGACTTGGTGTGTGTGTGCCTCTTCCTGGGGTTCAGAGTGCACTAGACACTCGCGACATAAGAGATTCAGAGAGAACCCAGATAATATTGCTTGAATCACTAAATCTATTTATTTCTGAAATTAATTGTTTCTTTTACTATTTTAGCCGTGTGAGAGAATAAATTTCAAATTTTGCCTAAATAGGGTGAAAATTCTTTTATCAGAATGGAAAGTAACATTGGTTCATAATTTACACAAGCAGAATAAACTAGAATACAAAGACATTGTGTAAGAAAACAAAACTTTAATTACCCACAAGATATTGCAGAAAAATTTTTGAAGGCTCCATATTTTTAGAAAACATTATAAAAACCCTTACTTAAAGTTAATGATTTGAGGGTTCCTTGTGTTATATTAATTGTTATTATTCAAAAACATCATATTATTTTGTGCTGATACATGTTTCCCTGTAATAGAATCAGAATTATTACTTCAATTGCATGAATTTTTGACCAAAATTTCTCATATTTTGTTATGTAGACCTTATATTTAGTGTCATTTTTGTGAATGTTTCCTGTTAAATTATATCTAGATGTCTTTCTCAAACCTGAAGTGCTTGCAGGTACAGCTTTTTGGAGACCAGGGACAATGGATTTGTGACACTGGATTATAGTGGAGTGATTCTACTGAGATGTTTAGCACAGTTATTGGGTATGAATGATCGACTTACTAAAGAGGAAAGACCCATCTGGGTCTGGGTGGCACCAACCTACAGACTTGCAGCCTGGATGAACTACAAAGGGAAAGAAGAAGGAAGTCCTGCTGCTTGCTGCCTACTCTGCCAAGGACTGTTTCTCCTCTGCTATGACCATCTTTCACAGCACCCTGCATGGAGGTCAGCTGAGTATGTACTGAAACCTCAACACACTATGAGTTCAAATAAACCTTTCTTTGTTTAACTTGTAGGTATGTAATATTTCATATCAGCAACTAAGAAACATCCTGATTTCCACTTCTACATTTATTATAATATCATTTAAATGTACTTAGAATTATTCCTTTCTCAATCACAATAGCCTTTTTATTTTTCTTATCTGTCTTGTTATAGTATAGTTTTAATAACAATCAAACTTCAAGATTAAGACAAAAGAAATGTTCCCCATTACAAAAGAAACATGGACTGCATGTACAATTTATAGGACACCAAAGATTTTTCTATGGATTCGTAAAAATTAGACTTCAATAAGAAATTATTGTGTTAATATAACATGAAGCTAGCATTACTCGAATGTGACACAATTATGAGGCAAAAGATGTTTTTATTAACAATTTTTAACTTTGTTAATAATTTCCTTTCATCTTTCTTTCTTTCTTACTTTCCCTTTCTTTCTTTATTCTTTTTTCTTTCTTTCTCTCTTTCTTTCTTTCTTTCTTTCTTTCTTTCTTTCTTTCTTTCTTTCTTTCTTTCTTTCTTTCTTTCTTTCCAGAAATCAGACTCATGACCTTGCACCTCCCAGGCAGGTGCTTCTTCCACTGCCCTAAGTCCCCAACCCATAATAATATTCTTAATTTTTAATAAGAAATTCAACTTCCTTATAAGCGGCTCATGTTTTTCAAATTCTAATGAACAGATAAGTATAAAAGTACACATTATAAAATCACCGGAGACATGTTTTAAAAGAAGCAGATAGGATAAATTTAATGAAAAGCAAAGAAAAAAGATTATAACAAAATAAGACAGAACTGAATCTTTTATGGTTACTATGGAGACTGGAATATTTGTGAAATTACCCTACTAAAAATGACTCTAAACAAGTTAAAAGTAAAGTAATAATATTTTACTTTTAATACAAATATAAATATATATAATATATATAAATATATATATATACACTTTTACTTATTAATATATACTTTTATTATAAAAAGAAGAAAGAAGAAGAAAAGAATACTTAGAAGAAATCATTTAAGAAACTTTACCTAAAAATTACACTTGTACTTTAATGTTCTAGAAATGAGAAATGAAGAGGCAATAAAAATGACCTACTTATTGAAAATAATTGAGAATCATAGAAAATATCCATAGCAGTCCCTGAAAAATGCTTAGAAAGCCTAAATAACTGAAGCAAATATAAAGGGTAGAAACTTCTAACTAAGTTAATCAAATATCTCTATCAGTGTACTTCCATTTAGAGGGCCTGAAAAACTTAGACAAATATGAGAGTGTACAGACTTTTAAATATACTAATCAAATATTTTTGCTATTTTATTTCCATTCTGTGATGTCATATAATTCCACTTGTTTTTACCTTTTGACAGTTACTAAGCTTATAGAAGAAATTTCACACATTATCCTTGTTACTGAATCTGTACAATGTAGTTTCATAAGAGAATTAATGGCTTAAGGGGTAATGGGTGGAAATAGAATGTTATTATTTTGTAAATGTTTATGGTAAGTGAATATAATCCTGGATGTTGCCTTAAGTGCAAATTTAATATATTTTGAAAATTTTATTTGTGAAAGACATGGGAAGCCATTATTCAAAATAATATATGTTAATGTATTTAATAAACTCAAAACCACTACCTAAGTGTCTGCTAAGTAGGGAAATGATTTCAAGAGTTAGAAAACAAGTTAAGCTAGTTATAATTGATTCAAAAACTGAAAAATATACATGATATTTGCCCATGGGAATTATGACACTAGATAGGAAATGATAACTGTCTCTAAACAAAATTGCTAAATGTTATATTTCCAAAGCAAAATAAAAATGTTTATGAGAGATTCAGTGAATATTCTTAGAGTACAAAATTTTGAGCTTGCCCTCAGAACGTTCTTGTGGTAACAAAAGATGAGACAATACACTAAAAAAGACAGAAAAAATACAAACATTGAACGTGTGAGGCATTTAAAAATAAGATGGCAATTTCTATTAGAAATGCAAATATAGGTTTTGAAATTGAGTAATCATACAAAGAGCAGAAATTCCCTTTAAGTAAAGATTCATAGGGCTTGAATACCTTGCAGGAGGCAAACACGAAATTTTGCTTTATTTAGCATATCACACACACTGTACTAATACACATATGTAATATGTAGTAAGTGTTCAAATTTATTTTCCAAAACCTCAGTTAACACTTTTTCCTAACTGAGTAAGCACTTTTTTCAATTTATACTATCAAAAATGCTATATGATAACCTGAAAACTGAGCTGAAAATGTAAGTGGGAATTAAACACTGAAAAAACTTCAGGACACTATAATATACATTCTTGCATTATTTTTAATTCTGTAAAAGTTACAAAACACAAGAAATGTTTAAGCAGGAGATTTGCATAAGAATTCTAATCACAAGAGGTTATAGGAAAAAAATATTAGGAAATGTAATGTATGAGCCAAGTAAGTTAATTCTATTTGTTATAAAGAGTGATAGGTTAGCTAATTTGGTGAGTTTGTTTATAGTCATAGTTCTCAGGCCTACATGGAAATTGTTCAATAACCACATTTCATCCCAGAATCATTATATCAAAATTCTGAGAAAAGAAACAAACAGAAGATTAAAACTACTAGCTTATGAAGTAGTCTAACAAATAAAATTGTCTACAAGTATTCTTTACTAACAATGATTAGATTGTCTTTACTTTTAAGTGCAGCAGATAATGTTAATGTATTAATTGTCCAATGATCACACTTCATCCCAGAGAAGTTGTATAAAAACTCTGAGAAAAGAAACAAGCAAATGTTTAAAACTACCCTCATGAACCAATCTAACAAATGAAATTATCTACAAGTATTCTTTTCTAACACTGATTAGCACATCTATTTTATTTTTAATGTTAATGTGCTAAACTTCAAACATAATTAGTAACCCCTTGTTTTATTAATGTCATTTCAGAATTTTCCTTAATCTATTATAGTTTTTGTATTCTTGTTCTCCTCACATTGCAGGCAGAGTGAATTCCTATGTATTCATTTGGAATATGCTTTCAAAGTGATAAGTTAAATCTTTATTCTCCAAAAACACACAGACTAACAAGTATTTAGAGTGAGACACAAATTAGACAGTAAGTATGATATAAACATCATTTCTTGAATTTACTAAGTGCATTTCATATCAGTTAAAATGACTTAGATATCTATATTACATAACACAATGAAAATTTAATAATTATTCTCATTATGAATACAAAATATTGTATAAATTCTAAAAATAAATTCTTTGTTTCTATATATGAAGTTGAATTAATTTTATGCAAGCTTATCAAATATTTTGATACTTATAAATTATACAATTTTTAAAATTTAAAAAGACTTCAAGAGACCATCATGATATACTTTCTTGCATTATATTTAATTCTATAAAAGTTAATGTGACACTAGAAATGTTTAATCATGTATAACTTTGAACAAGCTTTTATTTTTTTAATAAAGAAATGGGGTAATACAGTGCTAACTCATATGGTTTTGTGAGGGAGAAGTGAGAGAATCCAATAAAGTTTTTGGCTCAGTGCTTGTCACATAATAATTGCTAAAAGTTGGGCACTATTATAACTATTTCTAACTGTTTAGAAATTAGAATTTCAGTTTGTATTTAACTATTATAAGTAACAGTTAGAATTATCACATCTTTGTTCAAATGGTTGCTTTTTCTTGTTGTGTCAAATCCTTCCAAGAGAAAAAAAGCGTTACTAGGTCAAAAGGTGTGATCCTCCTTTTGTTTTTGTGCCCAATTGTCACATCACCCTTTAGCAAGATGGTTCCCACTGAACAGGCTGCTGCCCACTGTTTTGGAGATGCCCAAACTCCTGGACCCTAAGGTTGCCCTGAGGCCTCTCTAGGTGACTGAAGATGAGCAGAGCAGGGGACAGCCAGGTGGGGCCTGGTGGTGGCCAGCCTGGGCCTTTCCAAAACAGGACTTTATTAAAGTCACCTCCTCCAGGAGGCCTTTCCTGGCCATCATTTCTGAAGGTCCAGCCTCACCTCTGACACTGCATTTCCTCTTGGTAGTCTCTTTTCATCTTCTCCTCAGGCCTGATCTAACAAGGTGGATTTGTCTTGCATATTGTCTGTGGTCTCCACAATATGATAAACACTCAAAGACAAAGATTTTATCCAGCACTGAATAGTGCCTGTCACACACTAGCACTCACTGAGCACATTATCTAGCTGTTGAATAAATGAAAGTGTTGTAAACATTATAAATGAGGTCAAAGTCTTAAAAGCATCCACCAGCTATGATCTCTGAGTGATTCACTCTTTTCTGGACAGCTGGGACCTGCCACAATGTAGCCCTTGTTTCTATGAGGCCCTTTCCATTGCTAGGGACAAAATACCCCTAACTAAGTGCCATAAACCACTCACTTTATCACATTCAGAAATTATGCAGTCAAATTTAGATTAGGACATGGTAAGGGGCTTGTGAAGATTGAATGGCTGTGGTGACTCAAATGGCTGGTGACCAGAAGCATGAAGAAGCTTTTATTCAACCTCCGCCCCCAGTACCACCCTTCATACTGAGCTACATCCCTAATTTTTTCTTTTTAATTTTCAGACAGCATGTTACTAAGTTATGCAGGCTAGGCTTGAACTTAAAATTCTCCTGCCAGAGCCTCCCAGAATGCTGATGTTTCAGGCATGCACTGACATGCTCAGCTTGTCTTTTTATTATTATCTGTGTTCTTAGCTATTTTATTCTTCTAGGAATAAATGCTATAAAATGTGATACTGGTCATGTCTTCCCTATTTCAAATTTGGTCATCTCACATTGGTAGTTTAGAAAGACCATGACAAGAGGTTCTGGGTTTGTGTCTTTGTAGTGCTAGAGATGGAGCCCAGTGGCTCACATATGTGAGGCAAGTGCTGTACTGCTGAGCTATACTCCCTGTTATAACTTGAGCCCCGGTATAAAATCCAAGGAGGCAAGAGACCGAAAATTTAGTGGCAAAGGCTTTATTTCCAG